CCATAACAATGTTTTTAGCTCTATTATTCCTGTATTAAAAAGATTCTACATATTTGCATTAGGAGAAAAATACCAAATATGTAGGTTGTCAAGCTGGATTTATGAATAAGATGTGAATACAAAGTGCACAAATTGACATATTCAATTAAAAATAATTCAATGTACACATCTTCTACTAATTGAGTTATTTGGTCTGTTTGGATTGTCTGCATGAATAGTGACTTTGTGTGCATGTAAATGGTAGAAAATAATTAAAATAATCTTGTTTACGGTGTAATTTAACCATTGCAATGAAAACAATACATTTCTATTGTGTTATTTATTAAGGTCACCCGATTAGATATAGATATTTAAATATAAATACTTTAAAAAGGAAGTGGTCTAAAGATGTTTGAAATGGTGCAATGGTATAGATCTCTGCCCCTTTCTCTTTAACATAACATGATGTGATGCCATTGTAATGATCTGCTGCAACAGCCTGAATGGTTTATACATGTCACGCCTTTTGAAATGAAATGACATGTTGCAGTGGTTATTAAAAATTGCTGCAAAGTTTTTTATAGAAATGTATTAATACATGCAGTAATGTAAGAATCAAATAGATTATTATTATGTACATGTAGTATTCTAGAAAGGAAACAAAATATAGTGAAACTTAATGCATTTTGGCCGTTAAAAAAAGATTCTGAAGATCCAACAAGAACTCATTTGATCTTCTGAAAGACATTTGGAGTCAGTGTGATTCAGGCTTGGATGCATGATTCAAACATTGTTGTTAAAATAATATGAAATGATTGTTATGAGTGAAGACATAACGGGCGTTCATGAAGAAAAGAGCAACTCGTGCATTATATAATTAACAAATACTCGACTGTGTGAAACATAATTCATACTCAAGTTGTTTATTACAAAATGCAGCAGATTACTACATAACAAAGTGAGTCAATTACATTTTGTCGAGTTATGACAAAATGTCGAATAACAATAAGTTATGTTTACCGCTTATGCTTTCTGTGCGGCAGAAGCTCAGTCTATAGGGAACCGGAAGGTGGTCGGTTCAAGTCCCGGGTCAGACAAAGTATGGAGAGTGTATAAAAGCTCCTTAAATGAAGATGAGTCAAATGCATAGACCACATGTCTCTGTGTGTGTGGTGATGTGTACATCTTTGTAGCTATAACAATTATTTCATTCCAATCCTCCATTTCCATTTTCTACTCCCTCTGTTTATTATCCTTTCCACGAAACCTAACATTTATTCTGAACCCTTCCCTGTAGTGTGTTTTATAATTGTCTGTGCATGTAAATGGTCTGCAAAGGCTAAAATCTCTGTGTTCCCTCCAGAGGGAGTTTCTCTCCCACACACTCCCCCCCCCCCCCCCCCCAGGCCTGAAATGCCTATTGGAATTCTTTGTTTACTTCCTGAACATAGTGACATCACTATGTAACATTCGATCTTCTATTGGCTAGCGCTCAAACACATTATACATGATAGGCTAAGGGGCGGGACATCTCTAAGCAGTTGACCAATCATCACAGAGCCGACCAGCTAACAAATCAGAGCAGACTGGGCTCTGGTTTCAGACAGAGGGTGACAAAGCATGGAGACATGTCACAGTAGAGACACTAAATACAAATATGAACCTGAAAATGAGCAGAATATGTCCTCACGAAATCACACTTTTATTTCAATGATTTACTCCTTATGTATTTACAGTCCTTCTCTGTAGTGTAACTGTGTTTGTGTAGCAGCTGTTCACCAGGTTTCCAACATTAACAGCAGCAGCGTGAAGTAAAAGTATTTTTTGTATTCTTCAGAAAAAGCCAGTGTGTGTTTTCTGTTGGCTGTTGTCAAGCCGTGAACCAAAACCCGACTCCTGACGGGCGGCAAAACTCTTGTCGGCTCCAAATAAATGTTGGGTTGTAACTCTACTGCGATCTGTCCTCGTCTGCAGCTTCTGACAGCCTCCCCCTAAACCCCCCCGTCCTCCTCCCAAAACCCCACATCTGACAGCTCCTCCACTCTAATACCAGACCCCCAACCACGCCAGCTGTGTGAGTGTGAGTGTGAGTGTGAGTGTGAGTGTGAGTGTGAGTGTGTGTGTGTGTGTGTGTGTGAGTGTGAGTGTGTGTGTGTGTGTGTGTGTGTGTGTGTGTGTGTGAGCGAGCTGTTTCCTGACAGGGAGGATGCATTTGTGTGGTGACAGCTTCAACAGATGCTCTAATAAAGTACTTTTCCACTGCTCTTGTTTGTCGTTCTGAGTTGAGTCTACAGACTGGAGGAAAACAAGATTTCTATATAAAAAAAAAATAAGATAAAAACTTTTCACATGACTGAACTGTGGAGGTGCGCTTCTTTTATCTCACTGGTGAGCCACAGAGGGAAGAGAGCTATGTTTTATACCAGATTTAGAAGCACTAACTTTGCCAGGACTAAAAAACGACAACGTCATCATTCTTTAAAATTAGCCGGGTGTTATTTGCTTTTTTATTAAGATGTGTTTATTTATCTTTTTTCTTCGTTAGTATACGACAGTACAACATGATGTCTTTTTTATTGCCTTTATTAACATTTTCATTTGTTTATTATTCCTCTGGAAGCTTATGTCCCATTTAATTATCTCTCATTAAAAAATTATATGTTTTATTTTAAACTGAAACTCACACACTTGTATAACGTATGAATATAATAGCATTTGTTTAAATATGACGTTGTTGTACTAAGTTGGTCTATTACAGTGTATTCTACCGTATATGATGTTTCCTATTACATCCTATCTTTACCTCGTGCAATGCCCTGTAAGCATGCTGCACAACAATTCCCTCATTTGTGTAGAATAACCTAGTGACATTTCTCATATGCAGGGTCGCTGTTCAAATCAAGCCATAAAGGGGCCTTATTCTGCTCATTTTCAGGGTCATATTTATATTCTGTGTCTCTACTGGGACATGTCTCCATGCTTTAATGTTCAAAAAGCTCTTTATTTTTCTCATACTGCCTGTGCTGCAGCACCTCTTTTCACCCTCTGTCTGAAACCAGAGCCCAGTCTGCTCTGATTGGTTAGCTGGCCAGCTCTGTTGTGATGGGTCAACGTCTTAGAGATATCCCGCCCCTACCCTATGACGTGCAAGGTGTTGGAGCGCTATAGCCAATAGAAGCATGTTGCATAGTGATGTCATTATATTGCGGAAGTAAACAAAGGAGTCCAATGGAGGTGTTTCAGGCAGGGGGGGGGGGGGGGGGGGGGGGAGTGTGTGGGAGAGAAACTCAGTCTGGAGGGAACACAGGGATGTTAGTCTTTGCAGACCGTTTACATGCACAAAAGGCTGTTCTTCACTCCACTGGACCACTTGTTCCAGTCCATGTGTGCGTCTCACCTCTTTGATCTCGTCTTTGGCCTGCTGCAGTTTGTCTGGTTTGTTGTTGAACTGCAGCTTGGCTTCGGCTTCTCGTTTCTTCTGCAGGAGCATCTGACTGTCCTGCCACTTCTGCCACGTCTTGATACGATGGTCAAACACGCCCTGCACACACAACACAGAGTTTAATACAGACAGAATGTCCCAGAAATACAAGATCAATAAAATCCTTGTGGTGTCAATTGACCATGAAAAAATGTAATTGCTGTAATCACAATAATAATATGTGATCAATCATGATTAGTCACTAGTTTAAATACTACTATTTACTTGTTTCTTGGGGGGAGATCCAACAAATACATGTGTGGTGTTGTAATAAAGAAATGCATCAAAAACTAGTAAGAGAAATCAGAAGGTTTTTTACTTTATTATAATGTGGTTTCTGAATTATTGGCATTAAGATTGCCCTCTGTATAATGTGCGCTACACAGGGCATATTATCTCTGCCGAAACTCCCTCTGGAGGGAACACAGGGATTTTAGACTTTGCAGACCATTTACAGTACATGCACAAAAACCTATATAATACACTAAATGCCTTTTTTTATAATTTGCATAGATTGCATCTCAAGATTTGATGTCAAGGAAAAAACTGAAAATGAAGGATACAAGTGAAGTATGCAGTCACAATAGCCGCGTACACACCGGAGTACTTTTCACCGTACTTTTCGCGTTTAGTTCCGTTAGTACCCCTTATGTCGCGTTCACACCAAAAAGAGCACTTAATCTCGGGAACTTTTACCCCCATTTTTAGTGCCTGCTGAGAGATGGTACTTTCCTGGGGGAAAAAAGTGCCCCAGTTCTGATTGGCTGGGCGAATTGCAAACCACGCCCCGTACAACTCTGAAATGTTTTGTAGAGCCGCCATTTTATTATCCTGGCATTAGCATTATTAGCATTAGCATTCGCCCAGTGCACAAAACGCAGAGAAACTAACTTATGGCAACACAAAAGAAAACATGGGAGCGGTGGAGATGAGGAGGTGTCGGCGTTCTGGTGATTTACTCGGAAGGCTTCAGTAGAACCTGCTGGGAGTCCCAGCAGGTTCTACTGAAGCCTTCCCCAACTCCGGGGACTTCCGGCCGGGGACTCCGGGCGACAGTATACGCCGTGAAGTTGTTTGCGGCCTGCCAGTAAACCAGAAGCAGAAGAAGACGAAGTGACGTCAGCGGCTCATTTGCGTAATCTTCCCTCAGGGAAAAGTACTCCGGTGTGAACGCGATCTGTACTAAATGCCCTGGGGTAATAAGTGCCGGGGCTCTGAGTGCCGGCACTAAATACGGCAAAGTACTTGGTGTGAACGCGCCTATTGAAATCTATTTTCCAGCAAAGCCATTCTCTGTCCCTAAACAGGGTAAGCCATTCACTTGTTATCCAAAGACGAGTCATGTCAATGTCTCCACAAGTCCCAGTCAAACTATCTGTATCGTCCCGTCTCTGACTTTATAGCTACTTGAACTCACATACCAGAGTACCACATAGCACTGTGCTAGACCACAGACAGGTGCATGTATCAATTATGTGACTTTATTTTGGAGAGATACAGTATGTATAAAGTATATTTAAAAATGTGCATGTATTTTAGATAGGAAATAGCACAAAAATGTATTCACAATTATAAACAACAGGTCACACCTTTATAAACATTTATGAATCTAGGTTCAAAAAGGGGCCAATCACAACACTCACAACACAGGTAAGTATACATACTGCTCTACTGCAGTTCTTCTCTACTTCACTCTAGTTCTACACTACTCTATTAGGCGCGTTCACACCGGAGTACTTTTCCCTGTACTTTTCCCGTTTAGTTCCGTTAGTGCCTGGAATTTTGCGTTCACACCAAAAAGAGAACTTAGTTCCGAGAACTTTTACCCCCATTTTTAGTGCCTGCTAGAGAGGTGGGACTATCCTGGGGAGAAAAAAGTACCAATTTCGATTGGCTGGGCGAATTGCAAACCACGCCCCGTAAAACTCTGAAAAGTTTTGTGAAGCCGCCATTGTATTTGCTGGCATTAGCATTATTAGCATTAGCCCCAAGCACCAACGGAGAGAGAATAACTTCTGGCGATTTATTCGGAAGGCTTCAGTAGAAGCTGCTGGGAGTCCCAGCAGCTTCTACTGAAGCCAGTCCCCAACTCCGGGGACTTCCGGCCGGGGACTTCGGGTGGCAGTATACGCCGTGAAGTTGTTTGCAGCCTGCCAGTAAACCCAAAGCAGAAGAAGAAGAAGTGACGTCAGCGGCTTCATTTGCGTAATCTTCCCTCAGGGAACTTATTCCGGTGTGAACGCGATCTGTACTAAGTTCCATGGGAGTACTAAGTGCTGGGCACTAAGTGCTGGGCACTAAGTGCTGGGCACTAAGTACGGCAAAGTACTTGGTGTGAAAGCGGCTATAGTAGCTGTACTCTATGCTATTTCACTCCACTGTTTCCCATCCTGTCTGGGTCCTACCTGCACTCAGGTGTTTGGTATCCAGCAGCTCAGACAGCAGGTCACTAGTTTAGCAGGACAGACTTTTGGTTATGACTGATTTTAACTTCAATGTCCTATATAAAACGGTATTTGTTCAATAGAGAACTTAAAAAGGTTTTTATGTGTCTCAATTCACTTACATCTGTTCTTACATGTGCTATTCTGAGTGCATAAGTGCATCCCAATACACAGTATGGCAAAATGCACAATGATTACCCTGATGATGCAAGCAAGAAATATACATGTGGATTTGTTCACTATTTAACAATTGTACCACAATACTGGTGTTGAAAAGAAGCCAACATTAATTTTACTGGGTTATTCAAGCAGTCTGTTTTGATCTGCTAGCACAAATGATAATTTAGCTTGCTAGCTAACAGCGGGGAACGTCACTTACAGCCAGGGCACAGCAGCCATGTGATATTTGAGATGAAGAAATGGAAGTGCAAAAAATGTTGGCACATTTGAAGAATAATCTAGACCTTTGTTGTATTTAATTTTGAGTCTATTATTTGATGTTTGTCTCTTGTCAGTTTTTTATATGTATATTCCTGTGTTTTGTATGCACCTGTTCCTAGATTGTTTTAGTTTTAGTTTGAACTTGCAATTATTAAAATAAAGTCTGATTTAAAAATATACATACATATGTATATCAACCCATAGAGCATATGCAAGTTAGCATCCCACAGGTTCTATGTGCGGGGGACCCGAACTATACATCATACAGTATACTATTGTGTGCAGAGTGCATCTACCCTCAGACTCGTACCTTGACGGCGATGATGAGGCGGACATAGTCCCCCAGTAACTCAGAGAAGAGGTAGAAGTCTGCGTTGGCCTGGTCCTGGTGCAGCTGGTCGATCTTCTCCTCCACCTCGGCCAGCTGGGACAGAGCCCGGGACAGAGCTGTGTGGTCCTCGCTGTTCCCCAACATGGCCGCCGACTTGGCGAACTGCGCCGTGTTCACCGACAGCTCTGGAGAGGAGAGGAGGAACTCAGTCTGGTGCCAGAACATGATGCGGTATTCTTGAGACGTAAATATCTGATTTCATTTATACCAATATTCTTTTTTTTTTTAAATCAACTAACTAACAACATATTGGTTTTTTGTGCACATTAACTCACATTGAGTGTTCGGCCCTATCTGAGTAGGGTTAAGACTTTTCAACAAAACATGAAAGTAGTAAAAATAAATAAAGACACATACAGTAATTCCATATATTCCACCTGTGGATTTAATGCTTGGCTTCGTAAATTGCAAATTGAAAAAAAGAAAATTAAAGAAAATTCTAATAAAATAATAATATTAATAACTCAACAATATGTTAACTATTTATTTAAAGAGCCTGCAAGAACAAACGCTGTTGTGACATGCCCTGCAAAAGAACCACAGCACTATTAGAAACTTTTATTTAGAAAATCCAGAGACTGTTGAGGCATGTTCGACTTCGGTTACTATCGAATAAGCCATTTATTAAATAAACAAACTATATTGTTAAACCAGCAGAATGTGGTATAGCAAGCACTTTTCTTATGATAATCAAGAGAAGTGTGCTGGGCGGTGCCATCACGTCAAAAGGGAACATATTTAGTCAGAATTCTTGTTAACAAAAT